ATGTATCCGCCTTTAACTTTGAAAGTACCAGGTGATTGTGTTCTTAATATGAGAGGTTAAAGAGAGACCGTCAGAAAGTGTACTCCCCAACTTACCCTATGATGGACGTATGAAGGAAACTGACTCCTCTACCTTCGCACAGAGTGCTCATGGTCAGCCTCAGGCAGACAGCTGCTGGGGTCTCTGGTCACACAAAACTAGTCATTTTTCTCTTTCAGGTATTGGAAGAAATCTCCTTCCATGGTCTGGAAGGCTGCCAGGTATCAGTCACATACTTCCGTAAGCATACTAAGTTTGGTACATCACCTGCACTCTGCATATCTTTTCTTCCCCCGAAATTCACCTTTTCCCACTGCTTGTATCATTTCCACATATTTTCTTCTCAACTTTGCAAATATACCTTAAAACAATCCATAAAAATGTTGTTCCTACTCTGTTAAAACCAGAGTGCTAAATTCATATTTCAGCTTTGATTTTCAAGCTTTAAGCCATTATCACAATAGTACTTGCTAATTAAAACTGTGGCATCTTTTGAATGGATGTTTTGTTTTGATGCGCCGATGAATTGTGGTTACTTACTTAGTCTCATCTGGCCAACCTGGTAGAATCTGCGAAATTCATCCTATGTGTATAAGAAAATGCTATGAGTCGTTTTTGAAGACTTTCTGATGTAGAGATGCTGTTAAGCTTTAGATAAGTAATGCCAACTCTCAGTTGGATGGTGGGTAATCGTCTGTGCATTGTTTAAAGGTCGTGATATTCGTTGGTATTTTTTCTTCGAGATTTCCGTTTACGTATGAATTTACTGTGAATGAATTCAACATACTGAATTTATGCATTGTTTGCGGAATTAATTTTACTTTAAAAAATGTATACTGGATATGCATTTATACTAGGGTTTATCCGTTTGTTTTATCCAGAGAGGAAATATATCGTAAAAACAAACGGCATTTGCTATTTACTGAAAATATTTGGCGTATTACCAAAGATACAGCATTATCTCCGCATTATAATCGGTAGCAGTTTTAAATCACTTATCTTATTTGGACTAACAGACTCCTACATAGTTTTTCTCGAATTGGTGTCTCCAAAGCACTGAAAGGTAAGTACTGATTTCGTAATTAAACATTATGGTTTATGTAATAATCGATAAGTACTTTTTGGCTTTCATAATATTTTCAACTTGCTCGGTTTTATTTAGTCTGAACGTTACATTTCCGCAGATTGTCCAAGCATAACACTTTTCTGGGGTGTGCTTGCAGAAAAATTAAAGAAAATAGAAACATTTGGTATTTCCGAAGGCAATTGTTCGTTCAAATAAGGTGAAACAGCCAACCGTCAAGCACAGTAATATGTTTGTGAGAGCTTTCTTAGAAAGTAATCTTTTTATGGAATTGCTGTCTTTGATGAAGACATTGCTGAAGATGTTGCCAAGTCTGATGACGAAACAAACATCCACGATTGAAGGCAAAAGTTCGGAGAACATTAGACCATTTCTATCGTCGCTGGGAGCTACACATCTCTATTACATCAATTTTCTGTCTTCGCTATAGGTCACTCGAGTGATAAAATGTCGGTGAAGTGAATTGTTAAGGCTTAAAATAAACATCAACATAGAACCTCGTTTTGGGTGTTTAGCAGCCTAATAGCTTTCACCGCTCACTCACACACACACACACACAACAGTCTGAGTTTTCATACGAATAGATGCTGAAGATGATATCTATCATATATCCCAGACATTATGGCCTCATTCTTCAGTTTTTCCGAAAATTTTTGACCATGGTTCATAGTAGTTTCATTTTAGTCGGTTCGCTCATTAGGTTTTAAGAATTTAATTTTATGTCTTATCGAACAGTTTGGCGGCATAGTTTTTTATGATGCAAAACAACTATTCTAGATCTGGATAAAAAAGTAATAAGTCTTTGTTACTTACTGACTGGTCCGACTGAGCTCCATGCTATTTCTCTACTATAAACCATTGAAAGATATGATCTCCAGTGTTTATTTGCACAAGAAAACGACTTAATTGCTGAACTCCTGAGAAACTGTCCAACGATTTCTGTAAATTCTACGGTTGGTAAAAGTTTCACTCCTACATTTTACTTCTTAAATATTTTGTGGAAAAGAGACAGTTGTTCGTCGTAGAGGTCTGTTTACCGAAAGTCGACTTTTATTGGAGAGGTAACTAACTAATATTTGCATAATTTTGAGTGAGAGAAATCTTATGTTTTAAAACTTAGATAATTTATTGTAAGAATATTAGTAGTGATAACTTCCAAAGTTTCTAAACAACACTCCTAAGTAATACATATCCTCACAAGTTTGTCGATTGAAACGTAAAAAACAAGTCATCCTCCGGCTAACCTCACCTTCAAAGGATTGTGAATCTTGGATTCAGTAACGAAAATGTTAGAGGAATCTAAGCGTATCAAGCATACTTCGTATCCTGCTAGTTTGTGACTTCCATCCTCGAATCAGATTTCGATTTGGTAATGTGTAGAGGACAACTTACCTCATATCTCTACCTCTAGACATTTTCAAATGGAGCTAGAAACGCCGGATGTTATACGCAGGTTCCCACAAAACGCAGTTTTATTGGGAGGAAGTAGGAGTAATACATCAACATTATTTTATGAGCTCAAATCACTCAACTCCTTGTTACCCGTCGTTTGAAGTCATCAGGAATAAATTCAGTGACTTTAAAAGGTTGCGTTTTCACCACTTTTGCGTAGCTAAACACTGAGCATACATGAACATCGAAACCCAAAATATATGCATAAATGTTTTGTGAAACCCTTTATCTTCTAAAAGATAATCTCTAAGTCATTTTCATCCCAAAAAATCTCTTTTGTTATTACCATTATTTCACATTTCTTATTCTACCATATTTTGACTCATTTTACGCATCTTGAAATAATTTATTCTAATTATTCTTGTCATAATTCATGCACTCCTAAAAAACTCTTTTTTCATGCTTCATAATATGTGTGATAGCTGAGAATTTTTGGCGTAAACAACCAGCTTTTTAACACATTTAAGTACAAAAAGGCAGCTGTTGTTGAAAAAGAAGAAAATTGCTTCACTGAATTTCTTTTTCTTTGTTTATGTAAATACATATATACCTTTAGAGCCACCATGTTGCCGTACGATGTGTTTAGGATGCTTTCGCTCGCTTGGTACAAGAGACAAGAGAATGAAGATACGGAAAAAGCGCCTTCATTATCGCTCACGAAAATCCAATCAAATTGATCAAGTAATATAATAATGAAGGTCATGTCATAATGAGATATTCATTTGTAGAGTATGTGGTACGAAGGAGGTGTCTTCTGGATTTTTTCCTCAGGAATATAAGATGTGAGTGAAAATAGCATTGTTTTAATTTAGTTTTTTGAAGGTATATAAACTAAATTAAAACGGAATAATTTTGGATTATGTGCGTAGTGCTTTCTTACTGCCCTAACTGCTTTTATGTATGGAATCCCGGCATGGGGGATTAAAAAAGCCATAATGAATATTGGAGCAGACAAATCCACGAGCTTCAAGTTCAACAGAAGTACGGACTTGACTGGGACCTGACATCAGTTAGGCAACCATTGGAAAGTACTAGACAGCTGTTTCGTCCTAGTTTGGGGTCCCTCATCAGTGCGCACCCTCCGGGATTCGAACACAGAGCCTTCTAGTTACAAGGCGAGCTCGTAGACAGTCCAGTCACTGGGACCCGACCAAATGGGTTATGAATTCCAAATTCAGCCAATTCACGATATATATTGCAACCGCCAGCTAATGTGATCGGCGAGTGACTGACCTCTTGCCTGACTTGATGAACCCTGCTGTTCACGTCTTCTCACTTCTCTCCTGCGGTTCTCTAAGTGATGTCAGCTCCTGACGAAACCTGTAACCGGTCAAGTCCCTGCAAACCAACCCTTGAAAATTTAATAGAAGCAGTTAGGTAAACAAATATCCTATCATTTTTCTTTAATACAGAAAGGTGTGAATAGATACGCCATGTTATTTGGGTTACCATAGTTCACATGAGTTACCCTGAGTGTCTGCTGAAACTTTAATTATATGCAATCGGCCTCGAAATCACTTGCCCTAACATGTCTCTTCACACTATCCAACTTCAGCCAGTTCACACGAAATCTCCACTATCTCTTTATTCTCTCTGACATTTTATTTCTATAGTATGGAAATTTATTACTTTTCTTAGAGTGAAAAATGTTAACTTGTTGGCTTAATATATGATTCATGTTGTTGCGAAGAGTTTTCCTAATAATGTTTTGGCATACTACACAGGTTACATAATCCTAAACAAGTATTACAGTGGGTCATGGTTTTACATTCATCAGTCCGTTATTTTCCTTTTGTACGGAGGGAGAGGTTGATTACTGAATCTCTATCTTGAGTTGTATCTCATAAGTTTGAGTTATTCGCTGTGAAGAAATGGTCTGAATTCAACTTCACCCAGTTTCTCTTAGCAGTCGTTTAGTATCGTTAACAGTATTACATCAAGTGTAACCCTTAGCCCCTGGTACATGAACTTGTATCATCTAGTCGTGGAATTTCATTATGTCATTCAACTTGTTTATCCTTTATTTAATACTATTTCGTTACACCTAAAAGTTGACTACTTTCTTTATCTTCAGCGCGAAGGAGGAGCCACTCATTTCGGATAAAAACAGTTCCACTTGTGCGGAGAAGAAAGCGAACAAGTCAGTTACTTTTCCCAAGATTTTTTATCATAGGTGTGTAGCAAAAGTAAAAAGCAGAAGAAGAAATTGAAAAAGAATATACTCAAGTCGGAAGTCGTCCAGGTAGCGTCCAAAGCCAAACCAAAGTCATCATCTGTTAACTCATTCACAACATTTATGTCGTCGCTGGCATAATACTACTGCTTGCGTATGAGAGTTTTACAAATACAGATTATGCAGTATTCAATTGATTTGACTTTTTGTTTATTGTGAATACATTTATTTTCAGTCTTTTATTTCTTTTTAGTAGAATCTATAATGAGCAGTAAATATGCTATTAGACATCAAATGAGAGATATACTGAAGAACATGACGCCTTCTATGCGCATGAAAAAATCGGAGGACCTTGTAAAACAGGTGCTTGGGTAATTGAATGTCACATATGATTTCATAGTTTCTGTTCATCTTGATGAGCTTTCTTCAACTGTTATAGTCAACAGACTCATTTTTTGAAAGTGTTAAATGCAAATTATTGGTTGAATCTTGTAGGTTTTAATCAAATCTTATACATTTGTACGTTTACTAATGAGTATTCTACTGGAACCGTATTTGTTTAAGTACCTACAATACTTTGATAAGTACCAAATGAAATAATTAAAGCGTCAAAATAAATAAGTGTGTATGCAATTGAGAATTAATCTACAGTGAAGATTTAGACAACTAGGAAACATGAGACTTTTGGACAAATCGTAAGCAAAGTCTAAAATATGTTTCATACCCTATGCATTCATTATATGGTTGCAAAAGTGAAGTGATTTCGAACTCTCAGCTCTTCTGATTTGTGACGTTCGCGAATCTCAGTCTGATGGAGATACGAGTCCACATATCTGCTTATGTATTCTTCTGTTAGCCAGTCGGACGACATAAAAGCAATACGCTTCTTTGAGGGGCTTTATGCTTCCGTGTCGTGCGGAAACGTGGACTCTAGGATTCCACATGCAGCTCTAGCTTTATTAGATGAATTCTAAAATTTGCAGTAATTTCCACTTTAGTATAAATGGTTTCGTCCCAAATAAGAAAAATACTTGATTGTACGATAAAGACTGTGTAAGCATGTTATATTACCAGAATCTTGATATATAAACCTGTAGTCGTATATTTATCAAATTTAATGGTTTTCCAGTTCCTGTGTACTCCTGAATACTGCAGTGTGCAGAAGCTTGCCGTTTACATCAATCTTCCCGAAGAACCTAACACTATGCTATTAATCGAAAAAGCACTTATGGATGGAAAAAGAGTTTTTGTTCCAAAAGTAATATCTGCCGATATGTATATGCTCCCCGTAAAGTCAGTAGAAGAAATCAAACTTTGGAAGCCTAATAAGTGGGGAATTAAAGAACCGGAACAAGTGCTAAATGAAGAATTGTCAGACATAGTTACAAGCCAAGGTAAATACATTTGGTTTTACACTACAGTTAGTAAAATCATTTTTGATATGGTTGTGTTCTCTGAGACGGTTGGTTTCGTTGCAAAGCTTTCACCGACTTTCTGGACAACAATTCCTTGAAACTTACAGTTATTTTAGTCCTGTGCCAACTAAGATATGTGTTTTCGAGAAACAAACAAGTTTGCGGTTGATAAACTTTTCAAGGTTTATATTTAATTAGTGATACTGCTAATTTTACCTGTAACAGTGTTACCGTATGGTATTAACGTCGTCTGGGAAAACGAACTTTCACATACAATTAAACATCAGTTAGAGAACTATAGAAAGCCACGGAGAAATCAGTCGAGAGTGATTTTCCTCCGTTGGAGGTACTCCAAGAAGTAAATGAATTCTACCATGGTGTGATCCAGTCAGTACTAACCACATTCCCATCAACTTATGAAACTAACTGTTCGGTGCTTATTAAGTCATCCTTAAATGTCACTACTGACGCCATGACCCGTATTGAGCATGATTTTGTATATCAATTTTGAGACCTAAGATTTTACGCAACTTCACCTCGAAATGTAGTTCGTGGTCGTACACATTTATGGAGTTGTGATGTGATTAGAGACTGATTTAGTAGTGGGTGATATATTTGATGGACGTCACCATTTAAAAAAGCAGAACTCACAACTATAATTTACTCAAGTAATCACTGGGTTTACGAGACAGTTGTTTATCGTATTGCACACACTGTTTTATCTCTTATACATATTCCCGTGAAATAAGAGTCTTCATGAACACTCCATGCTATGTTGTGCGTATCACCGTTTAATAGCTAGATGTCAGAAAGTGTAAGCTGTTTCACGCTAACTGCATGTGTATCAGATGCGAGGTGTCTCACGTTGAATATCCTTATATTTTTCGAATGAGAAAAATAATTATGACCTAATTTTCAATTCGTTGTTTAATAGGTGGACTGGATTCGTTTATTGTACCTGGACTAGCTTTCACCCGGAATGGAGGTCGCCTTGGTCGTGGAGGTGGGTATTACGACCGATATATTGCATGGTACATGAAGCAGTGCCACTTGGGTGTTTTTCGTAGACCTTATGTAACCGCATTCGCATTCTCCGAACAGATTATAGACTACATTCCTTTAGAATCTCATGATTTACATGTTGACCACTTATTTGTTGCATGAACTCTTGTAACTGTAGCATATTGTTTTCTGTAACTGTGTTTGATTAAGATGATAGTAGCAGACTGGCAATTTGTTAGGTTATCCAGTGGTGATACCGAGATTCCTGCAGTAATGACAAATACAACTTTTTAAAAATATATTTGTGTTGCCTCGTGAGTTTAGCGGAATAATCTTAAGAAGACAACAAAACTGCGGTACATTTTAAGTGGTGGTTTGAATTGTAGTCACATTAGCCATTGTACCCTGTATTTAAGGTTCACAAAAGAGTAGGATTGTGCTTGAGAATTTTCAAATACCTTGATCATCCGTGTTATACTATCGACGATAGTATATAAAGTTCTATTGCCTTTCTGATCATTTGTTGAGGAACGCAGTGGGAAAGCGTAAACATATCGGGGAACGAGAGCTCATACTAGTTATTCATGCATTTTACATCCGTGTACATGAAAGCATAGCGCAAAAATGTTTCTGAAGTGTTACAGTCATGAGAACTGACTGCAAGTAAACTGTCCAATAGTCCCACTTAACATGAGAAATTGACGATGCAATTATCTACCGTACGTTTGACATTACTCTTAGTACATACCTGATTTGATCACGACTTTCCTCACTGTCAGCACATCAAGTGAGAATTTAATACAACAACTCTTACATAGATTCAGATGTTAAAGGTTTATAGGAATTTAATTACAAAGAGGCTCAAGCCAATATCAGCCAGAAAACCTTTGAACACTTAGTAGGTATTTTGTTATAGTTTGCAACTTTGAACGGTCTTAGCCAATATGGTCATACTATAAGGAGGGGACGATACCAGTCACTTGGTAGGCCGGGATTCCGTTCCCAAATCTTGTCGAACCATTCCCTAGAAATTTCGATCGATGTTTCGGGATATTTAAAGCTATAAAAATGTTGTCCTATAAGGCGTTATCGGAGAAAAAACTTAGGAAAATGCCAAAGTTGATGTGATATCACTTTTTTTCTATAGTATTGCTATTAACTGAAAGTCCCAAGTTGGTCTTACTCAATCGACCTATAGTTGCACTCAGATTACTGATATATAAAACTATGGGGGTATTATTTACGTCAGGAAGAAAATCAGTTATAAGCGAACATGACACTGAGGTTATGAACTGAAACGGAAAAATGGTTGATAGCACTGCTTTTGGAAACTATTAAGGAAATGTCCAGCTATTCACAACACCCAACAAAGAAACAAAGTCGGGCACCTACAATGAAGTCTGATATCTTAAAACTATAGTAATATTCAAGGGTTAGGAGCAATTAGAAACTAGTAGACTAACTATAACACACAAATAAGTGACATCGACAAATGGTTGCTTAGTCTTGATGGACATGAACAACTATATAAACACGACTAACCCTTATTAGGTCAAAGACTAATATTGGTTCGTTGGATAACTGATATCTTTCTAGTCATCTGTGTCATACAATTCAAAAACGAAGTTTCACCTTTACAATTAGGTACATAAGTTAACCATTGGCGAACACATTTAGAATGTCAGAAATATCTAGTTTATCGCTTTAGTTGTTATGAAGGCAGCTGAAGTATGTCTAAGTCATACGACATACAAATAACGTCTCACTATCCATAGGAAAGAATTAGTTGGTTGCCTACTGTCCTCTCGAATTGTCCTTGGTTTCCGACTAGGGTTTGTCATTTCAAAACATAGCTTCATTGCATGAAGCCTTTGACTGTTGGTTTGCGCCGTGTAGACTGCCACGCTGAAGTCTTCGGAACGCTAAGAGGCAAAAAGCTGACCCGGAATCACTCTGAATTGCGCAGATGCAATTACTGTATTTAACCTTACTAATCAATAAAATGCTCGTTATCCCACATGTAACCACTATTTCTCACGTAAGTTTTAGTTTTTTACAATTGTTTTCTCTACCTTAGTGTGTTATAAAGTGTGTGGCAGTTTGACGTACTGCGCCTATGGTGAAAATTATATGTTGAAAACCAAGTCAGTCACTTGGTGACTTGTTGTCCCTTGGATGCTTAACACCTAGACTAACTAGGTCATTTTTGTACAAAAGTAACACCTCAATAACTGTACTTTGATATCACCTTAGAAACAGTCTATGAAACTTGTGTTAGTTGACATCAGGTGGCGATGTTATTAACCCGTACAAATAGGAGATACATTACCAGCCTAGTCTCCTCTTATACATCAAATAATAAATGGGCAGGAAAGTTCCAGAATAATTTCTGGTCATAGGTCGGATTAATAGAACTACAATTAGGAATTAAAATGCCATAATAAACAGGGGACGGATAAAACTCAAACAAAGTAGTATCATAATTACTGAGGAGATTGACATATTGTGCAATTAGGGGTTAGAAATGTAGAAATAAAAACAATAGACAGGATGTTTGGATAAAAACTCTAGTGACGAATAATTGTTTATGCAATCAAGGATTAAATATGTAGAAATAATAAAATGACAAAATAGACAGGAAGTTCGGATAAGAAAATATGGTAGTGTAAATGGGGATTAAGAAAAACTTAAAATAACATGAATAAACAAACAGGAAGTTTGGCTAAGAAAGTCAATGGGATAGTCACTATTGCAAGAATTACCTGTTTATGATGGCCACGGCAGGGACAAGGGTTGAACGTATTTCTTTTGGACACAGCGTGGGTTTGAGCTTTTGGATGGCTAGTGCCTCGGCTATGCCCAGATGTCTTAATTTTACTCCCTTTGATAGGTTTGATCGAATCTTGTATATTATTTTGAAGGATTTTTCGAATGGCGCTGAATTGACCAGATGTTCTGTCACTGAACTATATACACGTTTTCGTTCTCCTTTTACTAGCCAGGCTGGATAGTGTTCACGAGCGCGTTTTTCAAGTTGGCGCATGGTACGGCCGATGTACTCAGCTCCGCAAGAGCAAGTAAACTGGTATATGCACGTTGAAGTGGCCCAATGCGACAGTTTGTCTTTCGCGTTCTGGTTGAACAGTTTCTTGCAGGAAAACGTTAGTCGTAGGCTCGCGGCGAAGTATGTCTTCCTCAGAGATTTACAGAGGCGTTTACGAAGGATTTCTGCTTCAGTGTCACCTTTGAATTCTAGATTAAGCAGAAGTATCTTCTTCGGGACGGATTGAACTTGTTCGGAAGTCTTCTTTGATTTGAGGTTCTTGTCTATGAACCTAGGCGGAAAACCGTTTTCCATCAGGGTTCTTCGGAGATTACTCAGTTCTTCATCAATCACCTCCTCGCTGCATATCTTCCGAATCCTCGAGGAAAGAGCGTATATCAGGTTCCTCTTTCTGCTTAGGGGAACGAAGCTTTGAAAATTGATGAATTGTCCAGTCCATGTGGGCTTTTTGTATATGGACCTTTTCAGAGAGTTGTCGGCGTTTCTTGTCAGATGGACGTCGAGGAAGTGGAACATTCCGTCGGATTCGGCTTCAAGAGTAAAGTCGATGTTTTGGTGGGCATTGTTGAATGTTTGAAGTAAGTTTTCAAGGTCCAGGTTCTCATCACAAATGATGAAAGTATCATCAATGTATCTCTTGTAGAGATGAAGGTCGTCGATAGTTGATGATAAGGGGTTGTTTTCGAGGCTGACCATAAAACAGTCGGCTAGGAGTGGTCCGAGTGGAGAGCTGAGTACATCGGCCGTACCATGCGCCAACTTGAAAAACGCGCTCATGAACACTATCCAGCCTAGCTAGTAAAAGGAGAACGAAGACGGTATATAGTCCAGTGACAGAACATCTGGTCAATTCAGCGCCATTCGAAAAATCCTTCAAAATAATATGCAGGATTCGATTAAACCTACCAAAGGGAGTAAAATTAAGACATCTGGGTATAGCCGAGGCACTAGCCATCCAAAAGCTCAAACCCACGCGGTGTCCAAAAGAAATACGTTCAACCCTTGTCCCTGCCGTGGCCATCATAAACAGGTAATTCTTGCAATAGTGACTATCCCATTGACTTTCTTAGTCAAACTTCCTGTTTGTTTATTCATGTTATTTTAAGTTTTTATTAATCCCCATTTACACTACCATATTTTCTTATCCCAACTTTCTGTCTATTTTGTTATTTCATTATTTCTACACATTTAATCCTTGATTGCATAAACAATTATTCGTCACTAGAGTTTTTATCCAAACATCCTGTCTATTGTTTTCATTTCTACATTTCTAACCCCTAATTGCACAATATGTCAATCTCCTCAGTAATTATGATACTACTTTGTTTGAGTTTTATCCGTCCCCTGTTTATTATGGCATTTTAATTCCTAATTGTAGTTCTATTAATCCGACCTATGACCAGAAATTATTCTGGAACTTTCCTGCCCATTTAATATAAATACACGAATGTACAGGCTGGTTGTTGATTTCTTCGAAACGGAAATTTTTTCGCTAAACTGTCTTTTTATTCCTTATGATCAAATATATATATATATTCCGTGATTTTGAATGTGGCTCTTAATTATTACACTGTACCCATCCAAGTAATTAGTGTCATGAAAACCTGTTTTCTTATCAAGTGATTAATTTTTTATTACAGCTTGATTTCACACCGTATTTTTGGTACAGCCATGGAATTTTTTCAGTATGTGATATCGGTAGCCCAAATTTAGCAGTTTGACTATAGATACCAGGTGTGCGTCGGTAGAGAATTGAACCCCGGACTATGTGCACGGTCGGCGAGAGTCATAACTGCTGTGCTACCGACGCACATTAATACAACGGTATTACGTCTGGCATCTATTGCTTTGCGGATTTTCGTTGACATCCCTCACCTGGAGGGTTATCTTTCGTTCTCACTAATAGTAAAGTAACGGTTATAGTTCTAAATTGGCTTATTTGTTGTAACCAGAAGCGTATTGGGATTAACTATGAAAAGGTGGCAGCGACATTCACCCAAAGTTGTTTTCGCCTGTTATTGATACATACAAATCAGTTTACTAGTGTGACAAGGAACAGTACCTCAGTCTGGCCAAAGTTTGCCTTCATACATTGTTGATACAAGCAAAATCCAGTCACAAACTATTAGAGCTCTGCTCATTAAATGATCAACCATGTAGAAGTTCACATGGGACATTATAATGTGGAAAGATGGACTACTTGGATGTTGTTTTATATTAGCTGAAATACTAA